AAATATACCGCCTCTTGTGCCTGATGAGGATAAAAACTTTGGTGGCTCTTTAGTTTTGGATTTTAGAAAGTGATGACGTCACGTGAAAACGATCTATATCCTTTTAGGTGCAACGTTTAGCTAGCCTGTCAACAAACAAAAAAACAACAAAACAAACCAAAAGCGGCCTTCATTTCAATGTTATGAAGAGTTATGCAAACGGCCATTATAAAGGCTTCTACTCATAGCTCTAGTCCATAACGATCAGTTCCTCGTCTTCTGGTGGAAGAAGATAGTAAGTGTTTCCTCTGTGACGATCTTCAAGACATCTGCGACAGATTAGGTGGAAACATCGCACTGGGCAGGAACATAGTGCGGACCAGTTTGCCCTCAGATAAAGCAATCCCTCTGCTGATGAGATAAAAGAGTGAGACGAGACGAAATGAGTCTCGTGTTTTCAATGAAGAGGGTCGATTATTCCTCCTCTTAATGTTCCTTTACGCTACCGCGCCTTCTCGTTATTTGGTACCTCCAATTCACCACAGACTTTTTAAGATCATTGTCCTTGATACGATGGAACCGCGGCCTACGGCCACCCAGTTCATGCGGCCACCACGTTACTTCAAAGGTCAACTAATTCTGGCCCAAACAAAAGCTCGGTCAGTGAATTTTTTTTATTTAAAGAACTCTTTTAATACGGCCACTCTGTTAACTGTACACACCGCACCACTGACATTATTTCACACCCTCTTCTAGTGGTTTAGTACTTAGTTAAACAACGATGTGAACTTTATTTAGTTTTTTTTTTTTGTGCTGCAGGAAATACTTACCTACGGACCATATTAACACGGCACCATTGAGAAAAACAAAGACTAGGTTGATAAACGTAGAGTTGTTTTCTCCTTGATTCCTGCTGACGTCAGGTTGTGAATAGATTGCGCCGAAGCTAACGTTGAAGAATATTGTCCAAAGCGCAAACGTTTGGAGTCGATCTTCAAATTTTCCTTTCATTGGTCGAAAGATGGTGTATGCAATTCCAGAACAACCGGCTGTGATCAAGGTAAAACCAATCCGAGAAAGGCTGTCGGACTCAAACAGAGGGATACATGCGATTAACGCAAGCTTTCGGTACATCTCCACAATCTCCCAAAACCAGCGGCTCTCTTCATAATTTTCGAAAAACACTCTGAAACCAAAAGCCATTTCGTCTTTCTCAGGATCACACTTACGGTACTTGTAAATGGGAAACAGCAGCAACAACGGAAAGACAGCAGGATACAGCGCAAAGACAGCTGCAATGGGCCAGAAGTTATCGTGTAGAGTGGTAAAACACTGGATGGAGTAATCAGCCTTCAGAAGAGAAATACATTCGCTTCCATCTTTGTCGAAGCAAACGTTCACACAATTTCCAGGCAAGGGCAGAATGTCAATTATCTTCTTACTTGTGACTGGGTATGACAAAAGGAGAAAAAGCAAAATATTTCGATAGCACGACTTCTTCAATCTTGAGATTTTCTTCTTTTTTTCGGAGGATTCTTGGGAGGATTCTTGGGAGGATTCTTCGGAGATGGAAATCTCCAGTTTGTTGATGTGTCGCTTTTTCAGGACGAGATAGAGCATTATCAGGGAAACGACCAAGGCATTAATAAAAATGGCTAAAATAAACTGTATGAAAGGGTCCAGTCGAAGGAAATGATTAATGCAGCTCAGTGGTGCAAACTGCAAAATGTTTCCCTCAACAAACTTCAACCATTTTTCCATGGAGATGAGGATTACAGGCCAGTGGACCCCAACCAAAGCCGAGAAAATGCCAGCAACAACTTGATAAAATCCAATCACGATCTTGCAGCAGGACATGATGACATCTGCCACAGTACGAGTATTATTGCTTCTTGTGCGTTTGGAGTCTCCCCAGAGAATCATTACAAACAGCAAAGCGAAGAACACAATCACTGCAACACATGAAATGACTGTAGCAATCATGCTTGGACATTCCAGACATCTGTTAAATCGGAAGAAGTGATTGTAAGAACAAGTTGCACATAAGGTACCTTGGTATCCGACCTCACACGTCGCCTCTTGTGCCTGATGAGGATAAAAACTTTGGTGGCTCTTTAGTTTTGGATTTTAGAAAGTGATGACGCCACGTGAAAACGATCTATATCCTTTTAGGTGCAACGTTTAGCTAGCCTGTCAACAAACAAAAACAACAAAACAAAACAAAAGCCTACATTTCAATATTATGAAGAGTTATGCAAACGGCCATTATAAAGGCTTCTACACATAGCTCTAGTCCATAACGATCAGTTCCTCGTCTTCTGGTGGAAGAAGATAGTAAGTGTTTCCTCTGTGACGATCTTCAAGACATCTGCGACAGATTAGGTGGAAACATCGCACTGGGCAGGAACATAGTGCGGACCAGTTTGCCCTCAGATAAAGCAATCCCTCTGCTGATGAGATAAAAGAATGAGACGAGACGAAATTAGTCTCGTGTTTTCAATGAAGAGGGTCGATTATTCCTCCCCTTAATGTTCCTTTACGCTACCGCGCCTTCTCGTTATTTGGTACCTCCAATTCACGACAGACGTTTTAAGATGATTGTCCTTGATACAATGGAACCGCGGCCTACGGCCACCCAGTTCATGCGGCCACCACGTTATTTCAAAGGTCAACTAATTCTGGCCCAAACAAAAGCTCGGTAAGTGAATTTTTTTTATTTAAAGAACTCTTTTGATACGGCCACTCTGTTAACTGTACACACCGCACCACTGACATTATTTCACACCCTCTTCTAGTGGTTTAGTACTTAGTAAAACAACGATGAGCTTATATCATATTTTATCAAATTCAATTATTATATTTAAACTTAGTGAAATTTATTTAATTTTTTTTTGTGCTGCAGGAAATACTCACCTACGGACCATATTAACACGGCACCATTGAGAAAAACAAAGACTAGATTGATAAACATAGAGTTGTTTTCTCCTTGATTCCTGCTGACGTCAGGTTGTGAATAGATTGCGCCGAAGCATACGTTGAAGAATATTGTCCAAAGCGCGAACGTTTGGAGTCGATCTTCAAATTTTCCTTTCATTGGTCGAAAGATGGTGAACGCAATTCCAGAACAACCGGCTGTGATCAAGGTAAAACCAATCCGGGAAAGGCTGTCGGACTCAAACAGAGGGATACATGCGATTAACACAAGCTTTCGGTACATCTCCACAATCTCCCAAAACCACCGGCCCTCTTCATAATTTTCGAAAAACACTCTGAAACCAAAAGCCATTTCGTCTCTCTCAGGATCACACTTATGGTACTTGTAAATGGGAAACAGTAGCAACAACGGAAAGACAGCAGGATATAGGGCAAAGACAGCTGCAATGAGCCAGAAGTTATCGTGTAGAGTGGTAAAACACTGGATGGAGTAATCAGCCTTCAGAAGAGAAATACATTCGCTTCCATCTTTGTCGAAGCAAACGTTCACACAATTTCCAGGCAAGGGCAGAATGTCAATAATCTTCTTACTTGTGACTGGGTATGACATAAGGAGAAAAAACAAAATATTTCGATAGCACGACTTCTTCAACCTTGAGATTTTCTTCTTTTTTTCGGAGTCTTCGGAGAATTCTTCCGAGGATTCTTGGGAGGATTCTTCGGAGACAGAAATCTCCAGTTTGTTGATGTGTCGCTTTTTCAGAACGAGATAGAGCATTATCAGGGAAACGACCAAGGCATTAATAAAAATGGCTAAAATAAACTGTATGAATGGGTTCAGTCGAAGGAAAGGATTAATGCAGCTCAGTGGTGCAAACTGCAAAATGTTTCCTTCAACAAACTTCAACCATTTTTCCATGGAGATGAGGATTACAGGCCAGTGGACCCCAACCAAAGCCGAGAAAATGCCAGCAACAACTTGATAAAATCCAATCACGATCTTGCAGCAGGACATGATGACATCTGCCACAGTACGAGTATTATTGCTTCTTGTGCGTTTGGAGTCTCCCCAGAGAATCATTACAAACAGCAAAGCGAAGAACACAATCACTGCAACACATGAACTGACTGTAGCAATCATGCTTGGACATTCCAGACATCTGTTAAATCGGAAGAAGTGATTGTAAGTACAAGTTGCACATAAGGTACCTTGGTATCCGACCTCACACGCTGAGCCAATTCCACCGTTGCAGGACCCTGGATAGGGGCATTTCAGCGGCTTGGGCAATGGGCCATGAAATATCGAGAAATTTTTATTGTATTCGGGTCCAATAGTGTGAATATTTACAACGAATTTCGTGTAATTGTCCATCGTCGTTTTGTTGCTCCACTTCCAGAAATAATCTGGTGCCAGTATTGCTGTATCGTTTTTACAGGTAAGGCCATAATCTGGGCAGGACGTGCACGGCCCAAAACGATCCAGGCGGTAGAAATTATGAAGACAACTGCATGCACGATAGCCAGCGGTCTCGTTAGATCGGGTACCTATTTAATATGTAAGAATTGTAATCATTAATTGAGATACAAACTGATGAGTTATCTATCTTTGGGTACACACAAGTTAGTGTGGCTCAGCTTCTCGGCATCGTAAATATTGTAATTGCTAACGTTCTCGCAAAGCGCAACATTTCGCTCGTTTGGAAACTTGCACCATGTGCCCACCTCTGAACTGCTTTTGTTGCCTGCTAGTGATAAGGCGCAATAAGGTGTTGACACACGCTGTTATTTATTGTACGGAGTGCTGCTCGTTCTGTCGCATGATACGTCTGTTGGTCCAATTTCCTTGGAGTTAACGTCAGTATTCCTCAGTGATAACTTCAGTGGTATAGACAAACTCGAAATTGGCCTATACTGTGGGAGACCAGAGAATTCCTCCCATCATAAGAATAAACTTCTTCGTTTAAAAAGACTAACAGTACCCCTCAGAGCTGAATGTTGGAGTGAAAAGCTAATAAATGAACGCCCGATGCTGAAACTATATCAGTGAGGGAAAGAGAGCAAATATCTAGCAAAAACGGGAAGTGTCACAGGTGTTTTGTCCTAGGCAGTAGATTCATAGGTTCTGTAGGTTCAGAGATGAGTGATGCACGTACTTACTACCGTAATTTACTCGAAGAACGCAGAGAGCACGACTTCAAATAACGATTTAACCACGCTTTTTTTTTTAACCGGATTCCGCTGGTAATAACTTGTTTCAATATCTTTATTATAAGTATTTTTATTCAGCATGATCACTTACCATACGGGCATGCACGGCAGTCGGCTGCGCTTCTTCCAGGATGATCCGTCTCTGGAACGTAAGTGCCCGTGCTGCAATTCTTCCAGTCAACTTGCCCCATTTCATCCTGATAAAAGCCTCCTGAAAAAAAGGTGATAGTCGTTTAAATTTTGATTGAGGACTAGCACTTAATCAGTCAAAGAGTTTTTATTATTGAACGTTACACATGCATACCACCACAGACACAAGGCTTGGGACTTGCTGGAAAAATAAATGTAGGCCACGTCAGATGCTGAAAGTTCAACTCATCCAAGTATGATGGTTCACTCGACTTTTTCATGCATATTTCATCAGGTTATGCTTTTTATTTTTGAGGCTTTCGAAAGTTTATTCAGAAACATTTTCATGCTTGTTCTTTCAAAGAGGGGCACGGGGTGAAATAAGTTAGTCTGACGCCATCATTTATTAGGCTACTCGCGTATTTGTGTTCGTGGCGCCATTTTTCGACATAGAACGCAGTTACCTGCTGGACATTTCAAACAAGAAGCTTTTCGGTTGCTATAGGTACCAGGCATGCAAAAGCTGCAGTCAGAACATTTATCGTGAGGTTTGGGAATGGATCCGCATTTAGTACATATGAAGCCTGAATTAAGAAGACTATCTGGATAATCAGCTTGCTGATCGTACAGGCGTATATGGAAAGACGCCGACGGAGCACACTTCCTGAAGAAAAGAAAAGAAACATCTAAGATATTTAAAACACTTCAAGAAAATCTGAAAAAAAAAGAGCTGGTTTGATGTACTGTAATTCGAAAGTGTAACGACAGCGGCGGTATTGTTTTCAAAGAAAATGACAGAATTATCAGAGACCAAAATGAAGTGGCTTTAACGCTTACTGATTACCAGTGCGGAAGAGATAAACTATTATAACACAGCCGAACGCAGGAATGACGGGCGCATCTCACTAAAGTAAAACTAATCAGATTAAGATGAAAGAGATCATTTCTGTTGAGGCTTATCCTCAACAAGTGTTCCTTTACTTTTTAGTCCGTTTCATCCGACGTTGTTCTTGTAGCCCAGAATGCTGCTGCGCGCCTCGTCGTTCGTGTTCGAATACCATGTGCTTTATCGCTTTAAGGTCATTCTCCAGTGTTGCATTGCTCATCCCTGCTGCGCATAATTTCACGCGTGATTAACGCGTGCGCATTAAGAAATGGCGACCTTTTCTTTACGGCTGGACCTCGCCATAGAGGAAAATCGTCATTTTCTCGCAAACGAGTATGGTGAACTATCATTTTTGTTGTTGTTTTGAATTGAGTAATAAATTTCTCTGTGTAAAATATGGACCGATTGTCAGTGCAGAACAAAAAACAATCGTCAGAATTGTGAATTTAGCAAGCAATCGTGACTACAGTCATGGTGCTATTATAAGGATTTATTGGGTATAAACAAGGTGCTGTTGTTCCTAAACGAACATGAGTACCCCTTATTTTTATTTCAAAAATTAAGTTCCTATAATATAAACAATCAATTGGCGAAGTTTCACAAAAATATCAGTGGAGGTTCTATTTCAGTAGAATGACCTTAACCTCGGTGGTCTAATCATGTGGTTTTTACGGCAATGCAACCTTCACGGCCAGTGAACCTAAGATGAGATGTCGTGTGCAGTAAACATGGCTCGACCTGGGCGACTCGAAGGAAAAGATTTGTTTTTAGATCTTTGCGTAGTGAAATCCAAATCCTTACTGTCGCCTAATTAAACAATGTTAAAAATAACAACGAACATAGCCGTGGGTCACGATCAGCCGGTGAAATACTACAGTGATGGAAAGAGGGCTAAATAACTCCAGTCTATAAGAAAGACTTTAATGTGACGAAGAGTAACTAGGCCATTGATGTTTCCCTCCTCTCGGCTCTTCAAGGTCTTTGAAACATTTGTCCACTCCAGAATTAGCCCCACCTTCAAAGATACAAACATACTGAACCTGCCTAGAATCAATACCACTATTTACGGCCTATAAGTCCTGGATACACCTGGCACTTAAATTTCGGCGGAATTTCATCCCATTTTGTTAACAACGGTACACAGTTTTAAGAATTACATCAAACAACCAGACTTTGCAAATGTAATATAAGTTAAAGCAAAATTAAAAATATAAAACAAACAGCGGTGGTAAACGTTTTAAAAACATATATTTTATGAACTTGACGTTTCGTTTGCTAGTCAACATACATTTTCAAAAGTACATGTATGTTGACTAGCATACGAAACGTCAAGTTCATGAAATGCATGTTTTCAAAATGTTTATCACCGCTGTTTGATTTATATTTTTAATCAAGCTACGATGGCCGAAGACCAAGAGTTTATATATAAAGCATTATTCCGTTATAGTGGCAGCATAATTATAACGTCGGCCCGCTTCCCAAAACCTTTAGCCTATTTATGACCAAAATCTGCCATTTTCCCTACCCTATTTCTAACCAAGCCTGACCAAAAATTCGATACCCAATTTATGGCCGTTGACGGGCTTTTTTGATGGTCTTATCGATGATGATCAAAAAGTAGCTTCTTCTAACAAACATACTTATTTCAAGACCAGATTGCAAAAGCCATACCCTGTTACTAACCAAAATAGCCAAAATCCATAACTTATTTATGACAAAAACGGCTGAAAAACCACACCCTTTGGGGTCGCACAGACCTATATAGCCCATATAAGGAAGTAGCCCCCCCCCCCGGTGGGGACGGTACATGGCGAATATCTGAGTTACTCATATAGTTAATTTAAAAAATACAGTAAGGTATGCGAAAACTGAGTAAACATTGACAAATTAATTTTGTGTTTATTATTTTGTTTGCTACTTACATAAAAGCAGTGTATATCCCTGGAGGAATCTCCTGGAGGTTCTTACATGATATAGCCCTGCAATTTAACACGTAATGTCGTTTGAGCTGTACAGCGAGCAATACTTGGCCGTCGCCGAACGTCGCACAGGGAACGTCGCGATACCCTTGAGGATTTAAGTTATAAGAGAAGAACACCATCCAAATTTTCACTGACCATTAGGGAGCTTAAGAAAACCACGACGGCAAGGGCAACGGCAACGACAAAAGGTTTAACGAAGAGAACAATGGCTGTGCATGTGCGTTATAATTCTTGGTACATTTCTTTGCCGTCCTCTGCGAAACAACAACGTGAAATGACCAAATTTCGCGTTGTCTGGAGAACGTGAACCACGAAGGCTATTTTTAAATTTTTAATTTGAATTTATCGATGATAGTTTCGCTATAGTTTTGACAATGATAAACAAAGTTAATGACTCTAGAGTATCGCGAGGTTCCTAGGTAGGATATATAATCATTTTTTAATCGACGTTGTCCTCGGCGTCGCCGTCGTGGTTTCTTAAGCTCCCTAATAACACGAGGTGGGAGGTGGCCTGACTGTTAGTGCGCTCGACTCCGGAGCTAGCGATCCGGGTTCGAGCCCTGGCCGGGGACATTGTGATGTGTTCTTGGGCAAGACACTGTACTCTCACGGTGCCTCTCTCCACCCAGGTGTATAAATGGGTACCGGTGAATTTAATGCTGGGGGGTAACCCTGCGATGGACTAGCATTCCATCCAGGGGGGAGTAGAAATACTCCTAGTCGCTTCATGCTGCTGAAAGCGGGATAAGCTCTGGCCTGATGGGCCACTTGGCTCGTATGCAGACTTTACCATTTTTAATGACACGAAGTTAAGTGTTTACTAAAAGGCATTAAGTTCTTGAATCATGGACAACAGCACTGAAAGCCTTATTAATTTCAATTTTCTCCCCGACGGTATTTATCGCGTGCGAGAACTGTCTACAGAGCACAAGGACATTCACAACACAACAATACAAATGAATGAATAAATAAATAGTATGCAAGTTTATCTACAATCCTCAAGTCTTCAGTGTACGATGTAGGCATTTTTAGAAACAATAGTAAAAATCAGTTAAAAAAGACCAAACTGAATAAAGAGAAGCTTCCGATTAGAAAAATAATAACTTGATTGTATTGTACATTGCATGGAATTTACTTTTGTAATTTCTGTACTTACAAGGTAATATTAGATGCC